CCTTCCCTTATCAATAAAAGCATCTAGACTTTTGCACCATTAACCACATTAACTTTGACCACAATTAACTAATAACAACAATGCTGCATTTAGAACAAGGAGATTCTCTGGAAGCAAACAAGTCTTAAAAACAGCGGCTGAAACAGCAGCACTCAGATTTAAAATAAGTTGATGAAGAAATGTCAGTGCTTTGGGGTGGGCTTTTCAGGGAGGGGGGATAAATTGGTCATTGAACCATGTGCTTTCTATTAAGATGTACAGTCAAGCAAAGGCAGCTTGTTCAAATTTTTACAGGTTTTGCATGTTTCCCACTCTTTCAAAATCCCACCCAAATTATCTTCTGTCATTCAACCAAAAGGACAGCATGTTACTTTTGCAAAGAGAGAAAGAAATGGGATGAAGTGAGAAAACGCTTATCTGGACATTTAGCAGCTGAGCAGAACAAAGAAGAAAAATACCTCGATACTGAAATAAGCACAAAAAGACAACATACAAGTGGAAGTAGCTTAGGTCTGACTGCATAAAGCATAAGAGAGTCAATGGAGGAATAAAGAAAAAGAAGTGACTTGGCAAAAAAGCAGAAAGCTAGGAAAATGGGATCAACAACTACATGAATATAAGCAAGGTTCAACCATAGTTATCAAGCATAGAGATAAAGGACACAGGAGCAAAACAAGAACTACCTGAACGAGAATTTTAGCTGCATACTTACAGAGCGAGGGCTATTTCAGAGGTTGCCCACTACAGGCACTCGTAAGATTCTCAAGGATGTAGATGGCATACCCACAGTCAGCACCCACCCAACATCCAGAGTAACACCAGGGTCACTCTGTCCACAGGGATGGAGACAAGCGGGGCTCACGTACGAGGGAGACAATGACCCATCAGCAATCCCCAACCACCAGCCAAGCTCCTGCTGCGAGGGAGGTGATGTACGGGAAGCACATTTTAAGCAGAAAGGGTGACTGTGCCACCCACAGAGCTGCAGACGCGTGCTTGCGAGGTGACCTGTAACTAAGGGGCACAGAGAAGAAACATGGAGAACCAAGAACTCTTGAAGAGCTGCACCAGGAAATACAAAATATTATTGTAATGCTACCTTAAAGGAGTGATCAAGAAAAAAAGAAAGAAAGAAAGAAAAAAAAAGATAATCAGGACACAATCTCACACCTGTAAAGGCACACTAATAGACGCAAGGTAAGGATAAGTAATCATTCTTAAAGTGGCCGAGAGGTCAAGGAGAACAAGCATTAACATTGTTAATTATTGTTCAGCTAAAAAGAAAGTTAGGGAGCTTGCTGATAACCGTTTGGGTGGAGTGGAAAATAGAACAGAGGAGGGGAGCTCCAAACAGCAACTGCAAACAGAACACATGATGAAAAGATTTCAATGCCAGCAGGATGAAAATACAGGTGGGGGTTGAAAGTTATAGAGCAGAGCAAAAGCAAGGGTGCTGGAATGACCAAGAGAGTGAGATGAAGTTGCACAGGCAAACAGAACAGGGGTTAGAAGGTTTGGGGTGTGTGTAACAAAGGGGGGACACTGCGACTGGCAGGGGAAAAAAGGAAAAGATGCTATTTTCTCCACAAGAAATTACTGCAACTCATGGCCAACAAAAGGAGGAGGAAAGAGCCAATTACACATACACAAAGTCATCTGGAATTGTAGGCAACGAACTCCCAGGCACGAGCATGGAGTTGTTCAGCTAGAAATAACTGAAGAAACCACAAGAAAAATAATTTGATCCAAAGTCAACCTGGATTTCTCTAGAAAGCACTGTTCATTGAGAGAATGAAAAATACTGGCCTAAGAAAGAGGCAGGGGGACAAGGCTATTCATAAGATTTCTATGGGTATCCACTTATCTGTTTATTTAGTTGTTTGGTAGTTTGTGGGGATTTTTGCATTTTTTTTTTTCACCCAAGTTGCACTGTGTGCCTTTTTTTTTTAAGAATCTATTTGTTTTTCTCTAAAAAGAGACCTAGATGAACCCAGACTTTTACACTGTTACCTTTCATGATAAGAGATAAGAAGTTTCACCTTTTCCTCTTTTATCATTGGTTCTGTCAATCTCAAAGTCTGCTATGAAGATAGCTACTTTCCGACCAAAGTACACACCCAGCTCTTTCCCCCTCCCCATTCCACCTACACAATATATTTCATCGATGCCAAGTAAGGTGACAACTGTCACTCATATTATAAAGTATTATACTTGAAAATGTATCTAAAAAGCACAGTGTAATAGTTGTTATTTACAGAAATTTTCATTTATTTTAATGTTAGTTAACACCTGTGATTCAAATACAGTGTGATATTTTATTGTCTATTTCCATCTACTCCTAACAAAAATAAACTCTGTAGAGGACCTTTACATAAAGGGATTCATTCATTATTCCAACCCTAGAAAGTCTTTGTAAATATTTATAAATCATAAATTTTAAGCATTTGTTCATTTGCTTTCACAAGGTATTAAAAAAAAAATAATTACTGCCACCAAATGCAAGTTGAAGACATCATTACTATGTCGGTCCATACAGAAGTTCATTAAATCTGAGGTAACAATGAGAGTGACTTCTTGACCTATTAAGTTAAATAATAGCATTAAAACCTTATATCCTGGTGTAATTTTAGAGGTTTTTTTTTTTTTTCTTTGAAGAAAAAGAAACCATACGCTGCTGAAAAAATTATTTTGAAAAGGAAAACAAATGAAGTCACATCATACATCTGTGCTCTGGAGTATCCATGTATAACAGAGAAATAAGCTCTCGTAACTATGCTTCATCTTGCCTTAAAATAGGTATTCAAAACAGGTCAGCTGAGCTGCAACTGCCTATCGTTCTCTACTGAATATAAAAAGAATCTCAAGCAAATGACTCTGGTATTGACAAATACATGGCAGAAAAATCAAACATCAATCAAGAGACAGGCATCTCTTATAATACACCATCTGCTCCAGGTTTTTGGAAAAACTCCATTTTCTACTATAAAGATGCCTTTTGTCTCCTGCTACAATTAGAATACCTTTCTCCACCAACAGGAAACACCAATACTATTTTAAACCCAAATTAATATGCCAGTATTGAAGGCCAAAGACTATGCCTTCCACCACACCTCTCAAATCCATCTCTCTCTCTCGCACACTTCAACCGGGAGAAGCAAGAGAAAGCTAAACCACATAAAGTTCTGTGAAAACCTATGAGACTATCATTCACCTGAGTGGCTGAGACAGGACTGACAGCACTATCCTTCCATCATTATGCCTTACCCACTGCAGAGGTTTTTCCCTATTCAGACATCAAACCCTGCTTTCCTCAGGGGAGAGCTTCCCACAGCCTTCTCGCAGCCAGCCGGCACAAACTCTAGCTGACGCTGAAGATCTCAGCTCATGGAAGAAGCATCCTGGGCGGTGGCTCAGCACCCATCAGAAAACTTGCCAGCCCAGAATGGGACCAAGCACTACAGTGCTCCTGAGGCCCTGCTCCCATGAGGTACTGAAACACTTGCCCAACGCCTGTTGCTTATTCCAGTACCGGGGAACTTCCAGAGTCTCTCCAGGGTGGTGCACACCTTAAGACAAAACTGATGAGCAGATCAGCTCTTCGCTCAGACATGCAGGCACAGAACGCTTCCGCATAGTGACACTCTGAACAGACAGGCAAAGGACCATAAAAAAGAACAGTAAAAAGAAGGGTATCTGTATTTAACCTGGGGGGGCGGAATCAGCTACAGCTTTTAATGACAGTACAACCGTTCTATTTCTTAAGCTTCTAAAACCAGGCCAACTCAGCCTGTTACATCACGCAGATTAATCAGATGCTACAGTATTTACTAGGGTTAAACCTAGAGGATAAAGGTTACATAATGGATTCAACCCAACCTAAAGTGGTCAGATTTCTCAAATAAATGTGCACCTTTCCTCTTTGAACACCTGAACAGGAATAATCAACTAAACGTAAGAGAAGTTCAAGTTTAACAAGCTTCTGAAATTGCATTCAGTTCCGAAATCTAGTACAGAAAAACAAATGAAGGCACTTGCCACTCAAAAGACCATAAAAGCCCATTCAAATTTTGTCACACCTATCTTTACTCTTCACGTCCCCTCTGATACTGTTATCAAAGCACTATGAAATATCTTTGTGTACTACATACGTACAACATCCCCTGGGCCTACACTCCTTACTCCTTTCTGTTCTCCGCTTCACTGTGATCTTGGGCTTGCCTGGTTTAAGCCAGGCTCTCCAACCACAATAAAATCCATATACAACTACTGCTTTCCCAAAGGCTGCATTTTGGTTTAGAGGTTACCACTGAGTGCCATCGATGAGAAATCTTGATTTTTCCGCTCTGCAGAGAGTATAGTTTTACCCATTCCTTCTCCTTCCTCGTGTGCCTTCTATCAGAAGTCTGTTGAAAACATTCAGTGCTCTGATAAAGAAATAATTGCCCAAGCAAACATTAGAAAAATGACATGAGGCCCAGAAGACAGTGCTTACCAGAGTTTGTAATTTTTCCAATTCAAAAAGTTAACCTGCTCACTTTTAAGAAGCTACCGTTTTAAATGTCTTTCACAGACAAATAACCAGAGAGAAAACATGTACTGCCTATTAACACATTAAATGTAAACATATTACAGCATATTGGTAATGCAGAAAAAACACAGACTTAGAACTCAAACCAATACAGACTCTTACAGTAAGTGTATTTAAATTCAGCTCAGTTATTATACATACAGTTAGCATTTCAAATATTTCACCCCCTGCCCAAAGACTGCTCATAGTGCATATGCTCCTCTGCCACTCCCTTTGAAAAAGAGAAAGCTACACAGCAGCCTCTTGTAGCGTGCTCACAAGGGATGCTGAGGTGCAACAGAGATGCAGGCATCTCCGCTACACTAGGGTGCTGCCTTTTTCAAGGTATTTCATTTTTAAAACCACTGAATAATGATGTTTCAGTCTTATAAGCTCCAAATTCTGCAATAAGAAACCAGAAAGAAATATTTACCATCTGTGCATTCTTCGTAATACCAGTCCAGTTCATAATAATCTGCTTCAATAAATTTCTGCATAGTCAGTATCCTTCAGCAACACAGACAAGATTTCACTTTGCCGCTAAGGTCAAGTGAAATGCAGCCATGCCTTCCTGCCTTTGCAAAATACCATAGCGCAAGGAAGCTCACAGGAAGCTGAGAACAAGCTGCACATCTTCAATGGGGATGCAACTAAAATAAAAAGGGGGTGTGGAGGGGGTGTTTGGAAAAAAATAAAAATAAAATAAAAAGGATGCAGAAGGGAGAAGCAGATGCCCTGGCAGCTCCCCTAATAAAGCAGCTCTGCACAGGAGCGGTGGCTGGGTGTTAACGAAATGATCCTATCAAGGGGCCGATGCGCTGACGTAGGGGACACACACCACCGCCTGCTGCTTCTAACTGATGCCTGCCTCCCTCCCCTCCACATCTCTTCCAGGCTAACAGGTTGCCATGGAGATGAGCCGGCTCCAAAAGCAATGCAGAGATGAAGAAAATACATTTTGCTGTTTCTGGCTTCACAGACTAGAAGTACACCTCCATACTGGAAACAAAAACCCTTGCTCAGAAAGATGCTACAACCGTGCTGACTGATCACAGAATAGCAGCATCATGCCATCGCAATTCGCTGGGTACACGCAGTACATTAATAATGAAAATCTAGTCCATTACTACTCTCCTCCACAGAGTTTGATAAAAGCCTGCCTTCCCTATGGAAAATTAAACTACGTTGCTGCTTTGTTACACTATTCTGGGCTGATATAACAGAATCCCTTATGCATCCTGTTATTGCAAAAGTGGCAAACAAACAAAAAAAAAAAAAGAAAAAATCGAAGAGTCAGGACAGTAATACATTTCCCCTTGCAATAAAGCTAACCTGTTTCTGCTTTTTGCCCTCTCCATGAACCACTGACCTTTTTCTTCCCCCCCCCCCCCACC